GTGCAGGTTGTGTTGAGTTGAAACAGGGAAAGATTATTTTCATCGCCCATTTTTTGTAGCGCTTAATAGTCTGTAGCGTTGATCAAAAAACCAGACGTATTAGGATCATCAGGCATGAATAATATCGCTCCTATCATCTTTTAGCTGATGGTGAGAATCTAAAAGGTTAGGTAATATATGTACAATTATACAATAGGCTCATAAAGAAATGTTTTAATTAGGAAAAGTAGTCACGCGATGAAACGTAGTTAATGCTTCTCTGGGCGAGGATTTCATACGCGATGATACCGTAAGTGTTTATAACAGTGGCCCAGCACGATGAAAAAGGAAGTTATTATTCAAACAGAGGCTACCCAACTGAATATGCGTATGCGCATAAAATTCATGCGCTTCTACCAAAATCAGATGAATCTACTGAAAAGATATGACCGGAACCACCCTAATTTTCGTACCGTGTACATCTGCATGCAACCGCAGCATATAATCTACAGTTGTTCTACCAGTCTCGCATGTAGAATGACTTAGTTTTGTTCGAGGTCACTTTTATACTTTTTGTTGACATTCTTTGCTTAAATTGATACGCTGGATAGTCAAACAGTGCATTAAATATGTCAAAATTTTTTCGTACGGTGTAAACGAAAATAAATCAGAGTTAATCCTGTCTGCTCACAAGATTCGTTCGCCAACTTCGAGAGCCCAGCTGTATTCTTGAACTTCGTGGGGTTTTTTAGGGTTGAAGCTGTGACTCTTCTTCCAAGCCTTTAAATTTTTTCATCCTCAACATTCCAAATTTTGTAATTTTTGTAAGAAATTTCAACGGGTCGACGCTTTCGGATGGGCAGCACGTGTTCAGTCTCAGATGAATATTTGCGATGGCGTTGAACATTCAAGCCGCAGTTTGTCTATGTTTAAGTAAACTACAGATTTTATTGTGAATGACTATGGATGTTCCAACTTACCGTAACCACACTATGCTTTTTAATTTTTTCGCGGTCATGGATGATTATGGAAGGGAATTTTGTCATTAGTGGCAGCTGATGTAATCGAATAGGTGCAAAATGTATAAATTTTTATCATAGATTTGCATAATGTCTACAGTAACGATTGGCACGTGTTTCAGAACAATGGTTCTGTAATCTGTAGTTAGGTTCGTTCGGTTCCACAATGGTCAGAGACCGTTCTTCGAAATTGGTCTTGCGACGGTGGTACCGTTTTCGTTTACGGGTGTTGTTGCTATTCTTGTTGCTCTTGGTGGCTCGCCGTCGGTCAGATGAACCATTGCGCGAACAAGTTCATCAAGGTAACGAATGGATTTGTCAGCGTTTGGCCGATGACCAATTAACGGTCTGTTCAGGCAGAAAGCCCGGATTCTTGTGTCGGAAACTTCGTTCAGCCCGACCAAAACGATGTGCGAACGATGAATATGAC